CAAATTTATTTTCTGAGGCATTTTATGACATTGAACCTACTGCTTTCCCGGTCTAACGTCTAAGGATTTTATAATAATTAGACTCTCTGAAAAGCATCTCTAGATATGGAGCTGTATTTTATGAGGAGCTCGGTGATTCCATTGTCAACCAACACCTGAATGCGTGTGACCGTCTGTGTGAATCTATCTTGTCCGATGCGTCACATCCCTTACACACAGCTCTATCTAGATCCATTTCAAATTCTGTAACCCGCAATAAATTTAAACTTTTGTATACTCGTACCACTTCTTTTCACAACTCCGTTGTACCCTTATCTTTCACGTTTGTTGGTTTCTACAGAGCGGATATCAAACGAACTTATGCACAGTCTGATGTAAATTTCCACGTTGATATTTTCCTTATTTTTTTACGCCTTCTCGCTGTCCGATTCATTATCATCTCAGTAGCTATTTGCCGCATCTCTAAGCTTATTGTTAATAGCGTGCAATGCCAAAGCAAAAGCGATAACATTCTTTTCACTGAAAATTCTGTTCACATAGGATGAAAAAAGTGTACTCTTGACTTGACTTGACGAGTCACGACTTTGTTTCCCAGAATTGAATGTATTTTAATGCTGCTTTCTATACCCGAAGAAAGTCGAAGAAGTGAATTGTGTGCATAACAGATCCAGATTTCATTGCCGGCACAAGGAATTATAATAAAATGGCAACATTTTTCATGATACCAAAGTGTTTTCAGATCAAGGATTTCTTTATGAAAACCTGTTGGAACCAATGAGGACAGGTTTGACAATTTTTCAATCAAAGGAATTTATAATGGTTATAAGAGAAGAATGGAGGATTTTGTTTAAGTGAAAGATGAATTAGTCGTGTAAGCTATGCACGAGTTGAAAACGTAGGAAGCAGTGGACAGCTGTTTCAACCTCGTTAGATTTCATCATTAGTGAAAATGAATATTCTCAACTGTGAATCAAATTCGGGCGCGCTAAGCACTCAGCACCGGTCTCTAGTGTTATTACTCGGTTGAAGAATGTCACAAACCGTTTAAATATTTAATGCAAACGGTGAAAGATTTAGGTGACAAACACATCAGATATACTCAAATGAACTCATGCATTGTTATCATTAAACTATCATTTATTTTGCGTTTCCAAAGAGAAGTACCAGTGACCTCCAACCCCCAATTGCTCGATCAACATGGGCGTAAAAGGAAATGCAACATTTTCCTATCGTAGTTAATGGATTAGAAAGAACGGGTCTGTTTATTTTAGATAGAAACGTAATCCACAAAGAAATATTATTTCAGAGAAAAATTACCGGACATTATGTGTAACGTCAGGATAAAAATCGATCATCGGTACAAAATAAAAGATTAATCTAGACAGAAGCTCAGCAGCAGCAGCAGCAGCAGCAGCAGCAGCAGCAGCAGCAGCAGCAGCAGCAGCGGCAGCAGCAGCGGCAGCAGCAGCGGCAGCAGCAGCGGCAGCAGCAGCAGCAGCAAAATATTCCAAAAATCCCATAAAACTGGCATGTTCACCAAGGACTTTGAAAGCTAAGAAAGAGAGAGGAGGTAAGAAACAAATACGCATATATATATGTTTATCTGGTCAGCTCTGGGGAAAGAAGCGTGGCCAACTGAACGACATTCCATACAAACATGCCCCAAATTCGAATTACAAAAACTCATTTAAATATCAGTGAAATCATAGGGCCTCAGTAGAAACTGGATTTACTCTGAAATACTTACCACTTGATTGAAAAATGAATTAACAAGACTGCAAACTTATGGATTTGACTTTTCACAAAACATGCGGACGAGTTCCAACGTAATTATCGATGATGGATCAACTTTCATGTGACTGATAATCTATTGAGGGAGTGTTTGAACACTCTATATTGCTCAAATAAATGTGACACTTAACGGGACATAGCAAATTATAGATCACATCCGAATCCAAACTAGATACGCGTTCAACTGCGCTACTATATCTTATGTTAGTTTCACTGTGAGTAATATACGATTAATTCAGATAGCATGAACAGGTGTTACTCAGAGATGTAAACCTGATTTCAATGAACAGACAAAACTATTTATCTCCCGGACCTCATTCCGGTAGGAATAATTGAAGAATTATTTCGGTGAGCCAAACGTTCGAGTTTATAATTCACATGAATTGTTAATGTGTGTAAAATGTACCGGTTAAAAATGAACTTTCAGTGTGAAATACTAGAATAAATCTCACAGAAATCTGTACAGCAGTATAAAACTGTAACCATTAATCCAGGAACAAAGCGAGATACAGTCGACCCATCTAATTTTATATGTCATCAGCTACATGAATGAACTATCCTCGACAATGTCATTTTGTTCCATTCAAAGAAACAATCATATGACGCTTCCATCACTTATGTTTGGAAGTTGAATTCAGAAGCGCAGAAAATTACTTGAGCCGTTATTGAAAGGCTGGATAACAGGATACCCAATGCATTAAACTAAACAATGTCTATGGTTCCCGGGAGTGGATAAAATTATATTATCATGTCACCATTCCTGGTAGTGGCTTGTCATCTTGGACGTTCACTTGGCAACATGAAAGGATTTATTCGATATCTGCTTCTTTAATCTCATCATTAAATGCAAAAGCCTCAATATGACCGGAGGTGGATATCTCGGGTTGCAGCTGGTCACCCATCCCTTGCACATCGCGAAATGCACCCATACGACCAAGCATCTCAAATAGCTTCTGTTGAGAATGCCCTAATCACTGCCTTCTCGAGGTGGAGGTGTTTTCCCAACAAAGTGAGGGGACCACTGACAGTTCACCTAGCGGAGCTGGTCAAAAAGCCCTGATTCCAAACCAACAATGACAAGGCGTAAGAACCACACACAGAACTTCCTGGTTGTAGCAGTGGTCACCAGCCCGATTGGGCACCAAGGTGTATTGGGCACCTTGTACGTTAGATTTCGTCCAAAGGGCGTATGATTGGATGAACTGGATATCAGCCCCCAATGGATTGCGGGTTTCTCACACCACCGCTCCGCCTTGCGTTTCAAGCTTTGGCTAGCCAAAGGCTCCGGTTGTGGATTCAACAACATAATTCAACTTCCTTGGCCTGGGCCACATGGCAGTATTTCACCCACATGCAAATCACGGAACGCTTTTCCTTTTAATAAAGATTATTGTACCATGATTTTTTTTACTCAGTCTGGATGTAGACGTGTGTGAAAATAAAATACAACAAATTCTTCAAGTAGAAATGAGTTTTCTGGTTCACAATATACATTAAAAAGTGTGTTGAAAGTCCGTTGTCGAAACGCACTAAATCTGGTTAAGACTTCTCACGTAAACTATTCTTATCGTGTGGATTGTTGAAGCACAGTTTCATCACCGAAGAATAAAACTCTTGAACTCAAAGACAAGTTATTACGTAGGGAGTAATGTTTTCACAAGATTCAACAAACCATTTGTGCCTTTCCTAGAATAGCGATCAGGTTTTACATTCCACAACCACACTAACCCATTACACCCGCATCAATCGATCAAGTTACACCAACAATTTCATGGATTGTGCTGTGTATTGTGACCTAATTGTTTGTCCGATCGTAATCGGAAAGTCGACTAGGAAAATTGGCAAAAGCATAAACCGAGGAACATACGGCGGAACTGAACAAGGTGCTCGCCAGCTGTTATTCTTATATAAAGCCCGTTCGACAATGTGTGTACCACGTTCAGTGGTTTTTGTCATTGATTGGTACGCGGTTCCATTAAATGCTAGTAAGATTTACTTTACACAGAGACAGTATCAAATCTCACCACACCATAAAACTCTTCATCCTTAGCTCGCCGTAAATTGTCATGCTCTCATGTTTTCATCACTTCTAAACTAACCTACACCCCGTTTCTTTTGGCACGGTTTCTCTCACAGTTTGTTTGATATTCACTTGTTAATTGACTTGTCAATGGCCTTCCCAAAGTGATCGAAATTGACGCCTTTGGTTTCTGTTAAAGCAAGCATTCCTGCTAATGATAATTCCTGCTATAATAGTTTTTTCAACTGTTATCCATTGATCATACGGCACTTTAATAAATGAGATTCTCTAGGATGGCCGATGTAATTGTGAGCATGGTTCTAGTCTGATCAGAAAGTCTTGTGGGTGATGTATCCAAATGAAAAGTGGTTCGCATAGCCAACTTTCGCTTACTATATTCCTTTTCTAGTGGACAGTTGGATACCGACAATGCTGCTCAGTGTTGTCAGAGTTGGACATAAACGTGCTCAAATTGACTAGTTTGGTTCGTGCGCT